CAGTGAAATTCCACTGCACCTACCTAAATAACACACACAATTAATCCGTCTACCCACCATTTTTGTGCATTTTTAAAATTTTTAATAAATTTATACCCCCTTCATCAACCCATGACTGATCCATCAACCCAACACCTTGTGCACTTTTAGCATGTGACTGGCTGCTATGTATCACTGGGGGTAGAGGGGATCAAATAACTGTAAAGACTGGTGTCACCACAAAGGTGTGTGTCTCATTGCTCCACACAGCCATTTAACATCTGTCTACCGAGCATTTCATCAGTAAATTTGTTGCAGTGCCACTACCAAGAACTAATGATGGAATGGTAAACAAGACAATGTGGTTTCTGTCCTCATGGCACTTGGTGCTTAGTAAGGGAGACAGATATAAAACAAGTAAATATACAATCACTTAATTTCATTTGTGGTAAGTGTTTCTAAGGCTAAGTACATTCTATGAGAGTATATTATAAGGAAACTTACCTAGTCTGAAATATCACGATAGGTTCCCCTGAGGAAGTGACACTTAAGCTGAAACCTAAATCATGAATAAGAGTTTAGGTAAAAGGCGTTGGGAAGATGAGGAAGTATAAAGCAACAAGGAGAGATGAATGTTCTGGGCAGACAAATCAAAACATGGAAAGATCTGGAGACATACAAGCACATGGTATGTTTGAGTAACTGAAAGACTGGTTTAAATGAGGTAGAAAAGAAGAGAGAAAAGTGGTATGAAATGAGGTATGCATGGATAAGTCAGTCAAGATTTGAAGGCCATGCTGAAAAGCAAAGAGAAACTTTTGAGGAGCTATAATCAAATAAATGAGAGATCGTATTTGTGGTTTTTAATTATCATTCTGCCAGTCAAGAGGGGAATGGAGTAGCAGGAGGTAGGAAGTCCTGTGTAAAGGTTTCAGGTGTGATCCAGGCATTTTATACTGGTGGCCTAGACTAGAATGTTGCACTGGCCAATGAGAAGCAGACAGACTGGAAAGATTAAGGAGGTAATTCTGAAAAGGGCCAATTCACTGGGCAGTGGCTGGCATGAGATGAAGGGAGTGGGGGGGTGAAAGGAGTATCTGCCCACTCAGGAAAGAGAAATACATGTCCAAGTTAGGGGTCGAGAACATGAACTTAGTTTTATATATGTCAGTTTTTATATGCTTGTGAGATATCCAAATGGAGATACCAACTAAGTAAGCTGGATATTAAAGTCTGAAAATCAGGAAAAAAGTATAGACTAGAGATATAAATTTAAGAATCATCAGCAAATGAATGGTAAATTAAGCCATGACCTGGAGAAAACTGCCAAAAAGTATGTAACAGTGAGAAAAGGAGATGGTCTAAAAGGAGCCTTGACGATCTCTCAACAGTTAAAGGTCAGGTGAAAAAGAAGAAGCCGCTAAAGCAAAGGCAGAAGTAGCGCCCACAGAGGGAAACCAGTGGAGATCCGCTTCATGAGAGTCAAGGAGAGAGCACCGCAAGAGCGGAGCCGCCAACAGTGCGACATTCGCTCGGCGATCACAGAAGGGACTGAAAAAGATCCACTTGGCAATAGAGGAGGGAGCAACGACTTTGATAAGAGCTTAATAGGAGCTCTGATAGGAGGTGATAGGCTGCGACAGACTGATGAGTACCTGAAAGTACCCGAGTACCTGAAAGAGAAGCAACGAATGTAGAAAGTTCTTCCAAGAAACTTGGCTATGCAGGGGAGGAGAAAAACAGGGGATGGGAGAGTAGATGAAGGATAAGGAAAAAAAGGATTTAAGGGTTTCTTGTTAAGGATCAAAGAGAAACAAGCATGTTCAATGCTGATGGGAGAGGAACGAATAAAGAAAACTGAAGATACAGGAAAGAAAAGAACTTCCAATCTCTCCTGTGACCTTCAAGGCTGTTGGGCAGTCCTGTGGTATCTCTAAGTCAGCCCTTCCATTCTCCATCAGCTATTCCATACCTTCTCCCCTTTCTCTATATACCTCCAACCCCACACCTCCTACTTCTAAGAAATAAAAAGGGTAAAGAAGCCATCAGACATTATTTCAAATTCTTACCTTAACTTCCACCTTGATCCCATCTGTTCTTGTTCCTTTTGAATGCCACATGGAAAAAGCTTTCTCGCAACACCAGTTGCTCCTGCCCTCTGCAATACTTCACTTCTTCCATGGCTTTGGGAACATTACTGTTCTCCTAGGCTTCTTCCTACTTCTATGATTATTCTTTCTCTGTCCCTGGACCCATATTCCTCTTTCTCCATCTGTGACTCTCCTTTTATGTAATTACAAAGCTTATTTTCTTTTTATTACATGTCACACACCTTTCAAGCATTTCAGACATTTCATTTTGATCCTTACTTGATAAACTGAGAAGTCTCAACCCAATGAGATGAAAACATAGAATTCTTTTATATTTTTCCCCATAACCACTCAGTTGAATCCTATAAACCTGCCAAATATGCTCAGTGAAATTCCACAATTCTTCTGTCACACTCCATTATCGAAGCATAGTTCTGACACAACCTACCTATTAGCACAAGTAAGAAGCACATGGCCTTCAACTGATGCCTGTGGCAGGGAAAGGCACGGCTTGTTCTACTGGGTCTCTCGTCCCCTCCTCCTCTACACCCCCCTTCTACTCTCCAACATATCACAAACATATGTCTTTTGCCAGCTCTTCTCCAGGGACTAAGGTAATGACGACTGGCAAGAGTCAAGTGCTACCAGGCAAAAACGCATCCCAAATCTCTCTGTGTAACTCTAGGGGGGAAATATCAGGGCAAAGTACCTTTGAAATCAAAATCAGTTCAAAGGGGGAAATACAGTGGGAGAAACCCATTTATTTCTTACAAGCAGTCCACTTCTGCTCCCCATGTCTCTCACAACTGGGCTGCAGAAGAGACCCCACCCAACCTCTCTGGCCCAAATAAGCCCTCACTCGCTCTTGTAATTGCCTATTGATACGGAGATGGACTACTTCTCTCCACCCCTTGGAAACACCTATTGATATAAAGATGTACTAAGGCCAGGCAAGAGCTTCTGGAAATACTGCAATCTACCCACACTCTGACACATTCTGAGATCTCTAGTGATCTCTGTAATAGATGGTGACTTCTGCGCCAGTGGCATATGCGGTTCTCTAGGGAGTGTTCAGGTTTGCCCTGACTCCCTCTGCCCAAGCACTCTCTGCCCCAACTCCATCAGAGTTTTGCATATTCTCACCTAACCAAGTGTCCCCAAAAGGAAGCCCCTATGACTTCAACATCTTACATAAGGTCCACACTCCTCCCCTCACATAGTCATGAGACTTACTGGGGGACCTCTTTATCCCTGAGAACTCCCAATTTATCCCCTCCCCAGACTTACACTATAGTCCCTTCGGCCCAGCTGGCAGGGGCTGCTCCCAAAAGTATACTGTACCATGAAATCTCTAAGGCAGATTTAGGTACCAGTCTCTAGATCCAAGGGTATCCCCAATATTTCAGAGCCACATATCTAGTTCCTCCCAAGTCGAATGGGAAAAGAGGCAGCACAGCAGAGATCCGTCCAGAGAGCCATCTCCCAGTCTCCCTTTCCCGTAGCCACACACGAAAACTTTTTAGCCCCACCTCAAACTTTTGTGAGAACAAATTGAGAGAATGGCTACCACTTTGCTAACTGGGCACTCTCCCGAAGGCAAACTCCCCCTGCCCCGCCGCTAGCCCAGTGTTTTCTAGTACAACATGTTGATTCATTAAGCTCCAAGGATATATGAGTTTGCTGAAATATTTTTTTTCTTGAAATATTGTTTTACATGCTGATAGTAACAATATTGTGACAATAAAACCATAAATTTGGATGATTTCAATTACTGTTCATTCTGAAACCTGCTGCTGATGAATCAAATCCCATTTCACTGGTCTACAACCTATTCTGGCTATTTACAATTTTAGAGGAAATACAGCTGCTGTCTCGACATGTAACTTTTCTTTGACTCTTCATATATTTCAAAGGCTAAATAATGAATTCCAGGGTTTTCAACCCTGTTCACTGTAGAAACAGAAGTAATTTTCTATGAAGATGTAGCACTAGTTTTCTCAAAATAATTTCAATCAGTACAAAGTAATATAGTATAGAGTTACTATTTATTAAAAGGCCAGGCTTTGTAATGAACTTTTAGAGACAGATTATGCTATGTGTCTACTATCCTATTACAAACACAAGGTTTTTTAAAATTAGAAAACATACCCTACAATGACATCCCAAGGATCGTTTATGATTAGTTATCAATCTCACTTTTCCTGACCAGAGTGATTTAGGACAGTGATAAGTATCTCAACGGAAAGGGAGCGACATCCAATTAAAGACATTAAATGTGAAACCAAAGAATTGAAAATCTCACACTAGTGCCACCTACAATACCAATGGAGAATGCATATATGAGAGATTTTTCAAAAATAAGTATGTGTATCCATCTCTTTGATTTCTTGCCTAGAACTACATATCAAGACAGCTTTCTACCACATCTTGCACAGATTATAAAAGTACATAATTAGGCAAAGCAAAAACAACAAGAGTACTCAAAAAATCAAAACCAATAAAAACCTGAAGCACTCAGAGTAGCAGTGACTGCAAGGGGTGGGGAAAAATAGGGAGATGTTGATCAAAAGGTATGAACTTTCACTTTTTTTTTTTTTTTTTTGAGAGGGCATCGCTCATATTTATTGATCAAATGGTTATTAACAACAATAAAATTCTGTATAGGGGGGTCAATGCTCAATGCACAATCATTAATCCATCTCAAGCCTAATTCTCATCAGTCTCCAATCTTCTGAAGCATAACAAACAAGTTCTTACAATGGTGAACGAATTCTTACATATGAACTTTCAGTTTTAAGATGAATAAGTTCTGGGATCTAATTCACAGCATGGTGACTACAGTATTGTATAAGGTAAATGACCAAGTCAGGTGTAGCAAAAATTAGAGAATCTGACTTCAAATGGATTACAAATCCTCAAAGCAAACCTTACCTTACATTCCACCACACTCTGATCTGATTCACAAGTTACATAGATTTCGTCTACTGCCCGGCGAAGATTGTCAAAAAGAAATGCCCAGTATCGAGCTCTTAGATCAATTTTCCGAGGCTGTCTTGTTTTAGTGGGACTTTTATCAAAGTGTTTATCTCCAGGTGTAGATGATGTTATTTTACAGTCTAGTGCAGTGTTCTGGTGAAATAAAACAAACCATAACAATGTAAATGAAATAAAATAAAAACATTTTTTAAAGTTCCCAGGGATTCATTTTTTTCATAAAGCACATTTTTCAAAATAAGTACTTAAAAATATGACATTCTTCTTTTCAGCTTATGTATCATACTGAATTCAACAAACAAAACTATCTTAAACACAAGCAGTAGGTTCATAAGGTCAATTTTTAATTCAGACATGTCTTACTGAAGATTAGGATGACTTCAATGATAAATAGACCCTTAGTCAAAAAGGAACACTGAAGTGGTTTACATGTATGGCAAATTGATATACATTAATAATAATAAACAGCAATTTCAGCATTTCAAATAGCTCGCATATATTTTTCTCATTTAAAAATGTAGAAATGATATGTACTATTGTTATATTCAGTTAATCTTAGGTCATTTTTCCACTGAAAGTAAAAATTAATATATAAATATGAAACAATTTAAAAGGACAATTGACAAATAAAACCGAATGCTAGCTACAGAGCGAACTCACCAAATAAAGTTACATTAGTTTTCTTACCCATTCTTCCCTCAGTTGCCCAGACAGACTTTGAAAATAACAAGATGATATTCTACAGACTACATCACAGAACCATTCCACCAAAAAGCATGCAATTTACATAAAGACCTAAATTCAAATTGCAAACCTGAAACTTCCCACTATAAGTATAAAGAAGTTTCTTATCTCTCTGTGGCTACTTAACCTGATAAATAAATACTAACCTTCTCCTATAGTTGGAGCAACAAACTATCTCAGGTTTCTTTGTGTTGTTTTGTATGTGTGTCATGCCTGTTGGCCTGTTTGTCTTTTCTTTTTCAAAGAAAAGCCCCAGAGTAGGGAATATCCAAAATACAGGATATACCCTCCTGTTTTGTTTTAGCCTTCCATATAACAGTTTTGGCCTTCAATATAACAGTGATTCCTATACTTCATAAATCTTTTATAGCCAATCTTTAGTTTATATAATCTTTACCAACAAATTGATCAATAAATATGAGAGATGCCCAAAAAAAAAAAAAAAAAAAGGGAACACACACACATGCTTATAAGGTTGAGATGGAACTGCTTGTCCTCCCTTCCACAGTCTCCCCCATTCAGACTAGGGTTGCCAGATCTCACAAGTAACAATCAGCAAATATTTTATCTAACAGCCCTAGTCCAGGCCCAAATTTTCAACATTTAAGCAACAAAATTTAAAATAATCAATAACCCACAAAACCTTTGCCTCCATTGCTCTCCAAGTTCTTTCCAGCCACACTTAATGATTTAATTTTTATGGCAAACACTCCCTCTTTGGATTAAACCAAACTCAAAATCCCATTCAACTAGCATCTATGGCAAAGAAAAGGTTTATACTGTCCTGATAATTATTTTTGTCATAGTTATCAGGAAAGTTACTTAACAACTTTTACAAGATTACAAATAATAAATCACATAATCTTCTAACCTCCTTCACACAATTTTTAAAGTTTATATTATATAAAGAACCCATATGTCTCAATACCAAAAAAAAAAAAAAATCCAATTAAAACATGGGGAGAGGGCTTGAATAGACATTTTTCCAAAGAAGACATACAGATGGCCAACTGGCACATGAAAAGATGCTTCACTTGCTAATCACCAGGGAAATGCAAATCAAAACCACAATGAGTTGCCACCTCACACCAGTCAGAATGGCCACTACCCAAAAGATAAGAAATAACAAGTGTTGACGAGGATGTGGAGAAAAGGAAACCCTCCTACACTGTTGGTGGGAAGGTAAATTGGTACAGCCACTACGGAAAGCAGTATGGAGGTTCCTTAAAAACTAAAAATAGAAATACCATACAACCCAGTAATTCTATTTCTAGGAATTTACCCAAGAAAGCAAAATTTCTGATTCAAAAAGGTATATGCATCCCTGTATTTACTGCCACATTATTTACAACAGCCAAGATACAGAAGCACCCAAGGTGTCATCAATACATGAATGGATAAAGAAGACATGGTACATACATACAATGGAATTTCATTCAGCCACAGAAAACTGAGAAATCTTGGTATTTACAACAAAATAGATGGACCTAGGGGTTATTCTACTAAATGAAACAAGCTAGGCAGAGAAAGACAAATACAATGATTTCACTTATATGTGGAATCTGAAAACAAAACAAAACAAATGAACAAAACAGCAGTAGACTGGTAGACACTGAGAAGTGACTGATGGTTACGATAGGAAAGGGGTCAGAGTGGATAGGTGAAATAGGTGAAGGGGATAAAGAGGCACAAAACTTCAACCATAATATAAATTAGTCATGAGGATGGAAGTGCAGCATGGAGAATACTGTCAATGATTTCTAAGTTGACAGTACTACACTAGTTTGGGTGAGGATTTAATAATGTATATAACTATTGAATCACTATGATGTATACTTGAAACAAATATTGTATATCAAATATACTTCAATTTAAAAAATCAACAAAAAAATAAAGTGTATATATTAACTCCACACTTTAGAGCATAGAAAATTAAGGTTCAGGAGCTAACTGATTTATCTGAGATCATACAACCACAGGAGAGCATCTTCCAATTAGAGCTCTACAATTACACTGCTGGCTTCCCATTACATTGATGACCAACACTCCTGCTGACAGCTCTTTACCAGATATTCCAGACTACCTCAGTTCTCTTACTATACACCACCCCAAGTTAAAATAAAGTTGGTAAGTTTCCCAAATTATACCTCCTTCACAAAGTTTTTCTACATTTATCAGCAAAGGGCTAGTAGGTTCCTGGGATTCAGACTCTAAATTTTAGAGAATTCTCAAAAATATTTTCACTCAAATTCACTCACTTATGTTTTCACCCTGTTCTGCATCCATGTGTATATGATTCACATACTTTACCATCCTTTCTTACATTGCATAATAGGCACTACTGCTTTCAGGTGGAACTGTTTCTTTTCTTTGTGACTGCTCTATGTGAGGCTTTTACTAAGAAGGAGTCCAGAAAGACGCAAACTAGTTAGGTAATTTCATATGAAAGGCAAAATGCTATGCAAATTTGACATTTAGCATTGGAAAAAGTAGTAATAACTTACATTTGCATACTTATTTGTATTTATGAAGGACTTTTGAAACATGTCATTTAATCATCACACCAAGCTATAAAGACAGAACAAACTGTCATTCCTATTTTATACGTGACAACACTGAGGCTCAGAAAGACTGAATTTCTTGACCAAGTCAAAAGGCTGAAGTGACAGAACTAGGACCAGAACCCAGTCTTCCAACTTCTACTCCAATCATTCACAATGCATTTTGCATAGCATCTAGCAAACAGTACACAGTAAGTACCCAAATAATGTTAGGTATGATTATTGAGAAAGATAAAGGGGAGAAGAAATATGCTCACAGAAAAATATAAACAAACTAATGGCAAAATTGCCAAATTTGTGAAGAAAAGTAGAAAAGGTACATCAAATTGTAGAGGCTGAAAAGTCAGTACAGAGTTTCAAAGTTCAGAGCTCTTACCTACCACTGAGAAAAGTAACAGCTGAGATTATAATCGCAGCAGCATCTAACACTTAATGGCATACTTGCTATGTGCCAGGCACTGCGCTAAGGACTTTCCATATACTCATACTTCAATCTTAGAGTAATTTTATATAATAGGTACTATTATTATCTCCATTTCACGAAGGAGGAAACTAGGGTTTAGCTAATTTAAATGGTAAACCCAAAGTCTAACACAAAGTGACAAAGTCAGGATTCGAAATCAAGTAACTATCCCACTGTTATGGATTACTGTGCCTAACTGCTTCCAAGACACTCAAGAAAAAAAAAAGAAATCTAAACTTTTGAGAAAAGTTACACACAACTGAATTCCATGACATCATATTAGTTCAATCAATGACTTTTGAGAGGAAAAAGAAAGGAAAGGAGAAGAAAAGACAAAGGAAGAAACTCTGATTTCTGACTCAACTCTCAGAAGGGATCATCGACTCCCCTGAGAATCTGCTGACACTTATGGACCTATTCCCAGAAAAATGCATAGGAATATAAAATTGAACATTTTTCTTCTTGATGTTTATGTTTATTTATGCTGTGTTTATTTTCTTTTATTACACATCATAATCACCCAAAGTCCATAAATGACCCTATAGTTCACTCTTGGTAATGTACATTTTATGGGTTCAGACAAATGTATAATGACATTTGGACCCATCATTATAGTATCATACAGAGAATTGTCACTGCCAAAAAAAATCCTCTCTATTCTTCCCTCCCCAGCATTGCCTTTTCCAGAATGTCAAATGGTTGAAATCATACAGTATGGAGTCTTTACAGATTGGATTTTTTCTTTTTTTAAATATGCATTTAACGCGCCTCTGTGTCTTTTCATGGCTTGGCATCTCATTTATTTTCAGCACTGAATAATTTTCCATTCTCTGAATGTACCACAGTATCTGTATCCATTCACTCTCTGAAGGTCATCTTCATTGCATCCAAGTTTTGGCAATTATGAAAAAAAAAGCTGCTATAAACACCCATGCTTAGGTTTTTATGTGGACAGAAATTTTAACTCTGCATAAATAACAAGGAACATGACTGATGGATCATATGGTAAGACATGTTCAGTTTTGTAAGAAACTGCCAAACTTGTCTGCCAAAATGGCTATATCATTTTGCATTCCCACAAGCAATAAGTGAAATTTCTGGGGCTTGACATCCTCATGACTATTTGGTGTTGTTAGTGCTCCAGATTTTGGCCATTATAATAGCTGTGTAGTGGTCCTCCATTATTATTTTAAGTAGCATTTCCCTGATAACATATGATGTGGAGCATCTTTTCATATGCTTATTTGAAATCTGGATATCCTCTTTAGTAAGGTGTGTATTAAGGTTTTGGCCTATTTTTTTTTAATTGGGTTTGTTTTTTACTGTTGAGTTTAAGAGTCTTTTGTATTTTTCAGATAATAGTCCTT